CAAAAAGTGCTGCGGTGGGAATAAGAAGTCCCTCTGCCCCTTTCCCCAAGGCCCCGTGAGGTACACCGCGCTGGTCATCCTGGCCCTGCTCGCTATCCTCATCGGCCGTCGCTTACTTCGTTGTCTAAAAGGCTAATTTCAGCTCATCACTAACAAACACGAAAAGGGATGAGTGAGAGTTATTTATCTATAAAATATTAAAGTAAAAAAATTAGCTTGTGCTGAAATGAAACTAGGATATATAATTAATCATCGGGAGATCAAGGTGTTTCGCATCTCCTTTTTTTTCTGTCGTAGATTTGATTCGCGTGTCTGAAATAAAGATATTTTATTTTAATTTTTTTTCAAATTTATTAGTAGTACTCAAAGTTATTCAAAAGAATGGAATTCTTTAAAACAAGCTTGTGGTAAAAGTATCAATAAGTAAATAATAACTATATATATATATATATTCCGTATTTGTATATCCACTTTTTTTTACTACCACTAGAAATATAATTATCAAAGGGAACAAAATCACTAAGTACATCGTGAGAATATGAATGTCAAACTAGCAATATACGAAATTACAATTCAGGAATCATTATCATTAGATTTTCAGACCTTTCGTTTGTACAATTGGTACAAAAGAAAATGAATGATGTCTGTAATGTTTCCGTTTTATTTGGTTAATAATAAAATATCGCGCCCTTTCCACAGGTTTATTTTTCGTTTTAAAGCGTAGGTTTATCTTTTTATTTGAGCCTGCGTTATATACACACGTATAAACAATCACAGTGTACATAAACTATCCAAAGGGAACCCCTTAGTGAAACTGTGGCTTGATATTTTCAAGGTGAAGTGAAAGAGAGAGAGACGCTGCTGTTAGTATACTGTCAGCCTCAACCTTTTTGGTTACACTGAATATAAATTCATTTTTATTATTATTTTTTTTCGCTCGTCATTCAAGTTCAAAAAACGTGTTCTTAAACTTTTGATGCCTTGTCGTAGTTCTTCATGACTTCTTTCTCCAGTCCCTAAGGATGGAAAAAAATTCTGCTACCGAGGAGCTCTCCAAGGTCATTGATCTAAAAACAACAGGATGTCAGTTTCGACTACGCCCGTTTGACATCAAGGAACGCTCGCAGCGACTCCCGCTACGCCGTGATCGGAAACGGGCTGAGTATACGCAACAATACAATGAGCTTCTTAGATCTAATTTCAAGAATTCTAAGGCTTCTTCAGGTTCCGATTTTCACTTTATATCTGGATTTAAATATTTCTTCCAACACTTTATACGTCAGCACCCTGTAGGCGCGTTGGTTGTGTGGATATTATTGTTTTTGGTAGAGCTGAGCATGGTTTTTTTGTCGACCGCCCAGTCAAATATTATCAGCACCTCATTTATATACTACGACAAATATGAGAAAAGTTATTGGTTTTACGCTCGATTTTCTCTATCAATTATTTCGCTTCTACAGCTTTTTTTCGCCTACTCGTTAAGCGTTTCGACGATATTTGTCGTCATTGCAACCTCCATTTATCAAATATTGATTGGCATTCTCGCGTTGTTCACCCAGTGGTCGTGGGTGAGTCAAATGTACGTGCCTCTCTTTTTGCGCTGCTGGCCTATGCGGCAGTACCTTCTTTTTATTTTGGATACCATATTTTCCTTGAGAACTCACAATCATAAGATGGACTTGATTTGGATTGCCGCGGACCCTTTGACGCTTTTTATATGCATGGTCTACACGGCCACGGCGGTATTTCGCGCCGCGGAGACCTTCAATGGTAATTATATTAGCTTTTCCGATTCGATCTACTTTACCGTCGTCACCGTCACCACGGTCGGGTTTGGCGACGTTCACCCGTCAACCACGATTGGAAAGGCGGTTGTGATTGTAATTATAGTCGTCTTTCTGTCAAAGATGCCGACCTTCATTCGCGTGATTCGCTCAACAATTAAACTTATGGGGATGTATCGCTCCTATAAAGGCAGGCTAAGGCACTTTATTGTATACGGACTGGTGACCCGTGAGGAGGTGATCTCGATCTTAGACGAGGTCTTTTGCCTCTACCCCATGAAGGAAGTGTGCTTTTGCAATAGAGAGTTTGCTGAAGACGTTCTCTCGGTTGGTCGGCACCCGTCGTATCGCATGCGCGCTACGTTTTTACTGATCGATGTGCTCGATATTTTCGCGTTTCGTCGAATGCGGGCGGCTGAGGCCTGCGCGGTCTTTATTCTTCCCGTGAAGGCGGGCTATTCCTCCCGCGTAGATGACGATGTGATGTTGACCTCGCTAACGTTTGAGCTCTTCATGCCGAACCTGCCGCAGTATCACTGGTTTCGCTACGGCATGCACGCAAAACTTCTTCATGGAAAGCACATTAATGTCATTAATGAATACCTGCAAAAGAATATTATGGCGACGGCCCTGCTGCTGCCTGGGATTGTTCCCTTTTTGGTGAATTTGGTCCGGAGCTCCGGGGCTAAGGGGGAAGAGCCACCAAAGCTGTGGACCGAGGACGGGGTGGAGGATTGGAAAGGGCAGTATGAGTATAGTCGCCGTAATGTGATTAGCACTTTCCCGTTGCCGTACTGTTTTGTGGGGCAAAAGCTTGAAGAGGTTGTTCGCGCCTTCAAGTTTCATGATGTTCTCATTGTGGGCGTTATGGAAGGTGTTCGAGGGGTAATGCACTTGAATTTGGACTATATCATGACCAATAAGGACTCCTTAGCCGCCATTTACGAATTACAACGCAACGGCATGGCGGTTGCATTGGAATTATTCAATAGCTTTGATGTTTATGAAAAAATGCATCAGCATCATCCAAGCGAGCCCTTTTCTAAAGTCTTCGATCATGGGAAAGCGACAGCAGTTAATTTAAAGGAATCCTTTGTTGACGACATACCCAACGAGAGCTTTTCAAGTTTTCGAAACTATCCAAATGAAAGCCGTCGGGAGAAAATACGCGAAGATGACGTAAAAATGATGAATCCCCGTATCTTTAGGGAAGACGTGAAACTTCGGCTTCAAAAGCTCGAGTTTTTGCCCAAAACAATGTGCGGTATAACCCTCAGCTCCATTCAGCTTGGCACCAAGGATGCGCATCACCTCGACGCTCTCATTAAGCGCCTTGAAGAAGCTTTAGCAAGAACGTACGCAAATGAAGCAGAGAAGGTGAATATCTTGAGCAATCTGGAAAAGCAACTGACCATGTACCTCAAAGAGCTTGCATATGAGCATGCGTCTGCCATTGCGGACTTCACTGTTGATACTCAGCAGGAGGTGGTCTTTCTTTTTATTGATCAGGTATCGTCCATCCAACGTAAGACGAGCATCTCAGTCTATGAAAACATCATTTCTCAGACAATTGCACAGTACGAGCTTTACGTAATGATGCAGTGTATTCGCTCCGTGCACACAAACTCCCATTTGAGGTTACTGACATTGCGTAAGTACCCGTCAGAGTATTTGAAAATGTGGGAAAATATGTTCAATTCACCGTTGTGCTGTATACAAGGGCAGGGCATTATTGATTCTCATCTCTATTTCTCGCTTTTCGAAGGCCCAAAAAATCCCATGAGGATTTATGGTATTTTACTCTACTGCTCTCAAATGGGGCAACACGACTTTGGGGATATTCCCCTGTCGTCGGTTATGAGCAATGTTCTCCGGTTTTTGGAAATGAACGCACAGCGATCAGGAGGTTGGGAGGATGTTCCTGAGCCGAACATCATGATTGAGCTGGAGTCCTTTTTGTCTTCCATAAAGGTTGCTCCATTTCATGCGGATTTTGAGTGGCGCCGGCGCGGTGAGCGTAATTTTCAGGACTCTCTTGCATTTATGATGGGGCGATGCTTTTCCTCAAATATGTTGCATACGCTGTTGATACACAGCTATCGGGAAAATAGAATCAACACCTTCTTTAACATGATCCTAAACCTCACTATGTATGTTGATATATTCAATCCGAGCATGTGGATCATTCAGGCACCTCTAACGCAAACACTCTTTAGGCTGTGCAGTAACCGAACCCTTCAGTTTAAAACCTTTGGAGCTGCCTTCGAGTTTCTTTTAAGGAGCCGTCGTTGTATCGCAATCGGGGTGTTTCGACTTTTCCCTTCGGAGGAATACATGAAAATCAAAGCACGCTACTTCGTGACCAACCCCCCACTTTCCATGCCCCTCTTAATTCATGATATTATCTATTCTTTAGATGGCAAGACTGACATCATTACATCTTGTTGAAGCTGGCGGTGCTTTCAATTCTTGATATATATATGTATATATATATATATATATATCCGTGTGATCATGATGATTAAAAAAAAATACAAGCAATCATATCCCTCGGCATTCTTCTGGCATTACGTCTTTGTTCAGGCCCTTGGGGTAAGGGGGTCTGTAAAAATTTACACATGATACCTTATGGGCATTTAATGCAATCTTTTAGTCTTGAACATGCGTTGATTTTTCACTTTCTCCGCCATATTTCTAAGTAACTTTGGGTTTGCTTTTTGACCTGCTGGGTAATATCTTAAAAAGTAAACAAAATTCCACCCGTTGTTGAACTTAAAAAAGGCCGTTATAAATTCCCTATCACGGGTGGCTATATATTTTTCGATTAAAATTGAAGAAAAGGATGACAAAAAATCTTTATTATTTCGACGAAGGGGGAGGTTGGAATGAGCGCAAACCAACAAATTTGCCAGCCTTTTCCTTGAAGACGATCACCTTGTGCAATGTGGACCTTAGCCGTACTGAGTTAGCTGATATTGAAAAGTTCAACGAGCTTCTCATCACTCACACACCTGCTATAATAGTTGCGCACTGCGTCTCGCACCCGTCGCTGACGTGTCTGAAGACCCTCCACGCAATACGCAAAAGTTATGCACTGCTAGAGACGAACTACGTTGCCTCGCACGAGGAGGGCACCGTCGCCCTCCTACGCCTGGGATTGCAGTGGGAGCCGACGGAGCTGACGGCGAAATCGGACGGGAAGCAACTTCTTCGTGCGCTGCTTCAGATTCCCATGCGCTTTCCCGGCGGCCTGACGCTCAACATCACAATTATCAATATGGACCACCGTGTCCTGCCGCAGCGTCGACTTCAGATTGTGGGCACCTTGCTAAAGCCGACGAATACCACGAGCGAATCGGTCGTTTCCGTGTTAATCAGCAACGTCGCGGAAGGGTCCGACCACAACGAGGATTTTCACCGTGAATTGCAAACTCTGCGCAGCAATGGCGGTTATGTTGACATGCTCGAAGACGCGATCGAGAAGAACACTACGACGCTGTGGTCGATGTTCATGAAAAGCCTCAAGCTCGTTCCCGTTTCGCCCTCCATTGAGATGAGTCGAGGGCAGGAGGCGCGGTTTCTTGTCTGCTCGATCGCGCAGCGCACGGCGAACGCGCTGCAGACGATCGCGATCCCGATGCCGCGCAGCGCGAAGACGGGCTGCACCAAAAGCCCCACCTTATCCTCCGCGACCCCCCTGCACAACCAGGCCTTTTCCGACCCCGCGATCTTGAGCGCGGAGGCCGCGAAGAGCACCATCCCCCCGACGACCTCCCAGGCCGGGGACATCTTCTCCCGCCTGATGCCGCCCCACCTGCATCACTCGAGGTGGAAGGCCGCCAACGCCTTCCAGCTCAAGGGCAACGACACGAAGCTGTCCAATATGGAGAGCATCTTCGACGTCTCGGGGCTCTTTGGCTCCGTGAACGAGGCGGTGGAGGCCCTCAACTCGCGCGCCCTGACGTGGCCCGCGGACTACTGCGTCGTGCACAACACCGTCCTCTGCGCGGACGGGGTCAAGCACGGGGACCGGCAGGGCTTCCGCCGCTACACCCGCGAGGCCAAGGGCAACCCCAGCCTGACCTCGCAGGTCTACGCCGCGGTCTCGTCCTACGCGGGGAGCGGCGGGTACGGGGGAAATCACCCCGTGGGTGAGGGGGGGAACGGGGGGAAGTCCTGGGTCAAGCCCTCCCGGGCGGAGCTGGAGGAGTTTAACGCCTTCCAGCGGCAGTTGAAGCAAGAGGTGGTGGTGCGGCGGGAGTGGCACGAGTCGTGTTGCACGATCGTCTACCAGCTCACCTCGAGTGAGATGAATAAGTTTAATATTACACCTCAGATTGGGCTCGGTAAGGATAATTTGAAGAAAGCGGTGCACTTTCTGAACCGTGCAAAGATAAATATGAAGGATAACCCGTTGCAGGACTATGCCTATGATTATGCGCTTTTGTTTTCCGTTGAACGACAGGGATACTGGCTTCTTGCGGCTACACACGTTCCATGTGATATTGTCGCATGCCGAATGGTGGCATGAAGAAGCGAGGAGGGAAAAGGACGAAAAGACAAACCAATAGGCATCTGAGCGCAGTTGGAATTATTATTATTGCTTTTCTTTTCAGATTTTTTTTCGTGCTGGGAGGGAAGGGGTGGATTTTAAGGAAAATACTCACATTGTGATGTGAATTTACGTTTGGTTTTCAGTTTTTGGTGTTGATGTTTTTCTTCTTTTTCTTTTAAAGATAAAAGTTGAAGGATAGTCATAATGGTGTTGAATTTATAGGCTCGCCAAATACTTTCTCACGTTTATACTACGGAAAGCGTGCTTTCTTCTTCGAGAAATATTTTCATATATATTGCAATGATTCGTTACAAACTTAAAATATATATACCTATAAATTTTGTTTCATTTTTTTTCTGGAAAGAGAGAGGTATTGTGTGAAAAAGCAAGATTCTCATTGCACCGTTCCTTATTTATTATTACACTACAATGGCTCATTTTTCCTCACTGATTTTTTTTTCAAAGGATTTAGACTCCTATTTTCATTTAAAGTTCGGTAGTGTTCAAATGGGGTTTCTCTAGATGTCGTTTTTATCTTATTTGTGATGATAAAACTTCATCACAATATATTGTACTTGTACATTTAAAAATTTAGCCAGGCCGAACAAAGGTTCTTTTTAGGTATATGTGTGCGTATGAAGGAAAGGAAGAGTTAAACTTTAAAACACTTTCTTTAGGTTTCATAAGTCAGTTTTGATGTAACATTACATTATTGTTAGTATGGTATTATTTACTGTTTTCTTTAAGGAATAATATTTTAAAACTTACAATTGTCTTTCGGAAAAGTTAACCATACAATCGCAAAAGTATTCTGATAAATTTTTTACAGTTTCGCCGAGTTGGGGTGGAACTACCGAGTCGTTGAAGAATATGTTTCCTGGGTAAACTAATGCTAATCGTGCTATCAGAAAGGTGATTTACGAAGTTAACAGACGAACCACCATGAACACGAAGAGATCAATGAATAAAAGTACATAAAGAGTTAAAGTAGTAACCTGGAAGGAGGGGTATGCTTTGCCATATATTCTGATGGTTAGAGCTCTAGCAGGAAAATACTACTAGCAAGAATAAGTAAATTCAAAAAGACTAGGGTTGGAAACCACAACTTACACAAACAGTTATAATCTGTGGTTGCATTAGTACTAAAATATATATATATATTTTACAAAGTGATGGGAGTCTGCAGGATGTACTCGGTGATTTTTTTTTGCCTTCACATATTTCTACTCTTAAATCGATCTTCCTACATCTGTACTGTTCAAGCGGGAAAAGTAAGGAGGGAATACTTCAAGAAACAATTGATGTGTTCCTCAAGTCCAATCATATGGCCACCAAGGCTTCTGCTAACTCTCCAAAAGCACATAGAAACGGTTGAAAACGCAGAAAACCCTGCTATTCCACCGATGGATAACAACCTTAAGACAATTTGCATCTTTTTTGATAACTGTCATTCCGCCCTGGCGGATCGACTTGCACAAAAAGGCTTTGATTACGATCTTACTGACTACTGTATTCACTTTTTGTGTGAGATTCTCGAGGAGGCGTGCATGCAAACCTTTCTCCTGCCCCGAGAAAGGCGCATCATTACGTCGATGCTACGCCATAAAGTCCGAAAAACCGCGGTCGCACCGCGTTCTAAGGTGACGACCGAGCAAACCTCACGAAAGGTTCCCAAGATGGAGGTGGACGCGGTGGAAACTAGGGGTGAGGGCCGATTATTTACCTCTTTGCTTTCCTTGGAGTACCTTTTGAGGCTCTTTTTTACTCTCCCTCCCGTTTTAGAGCACTATGATAAGCTCGGGGCGTCTGTGATGCCCCCGTACGCGAAGCGACCAATCTGGGAGTTTGTGAATGAGTGCTTAAATTTACTGAATAATATCCCTGATGCATTTTCCCCAATTAGCTCCTACATACCTTTAAAGAAATAACGCCCGAGAGATTTTACCTCTGCGGTCACTGCAGCTTTACGTTATCAAATAGAAGTGGAGGGAATAAAATATTGGGTGGATCGGAGAATCAAAATTGTTCGGTGCTTGCTTAATCAAACACACATACCGATAGATATTGTATTTTTTTACTGCGTTTTTTTTTCTTACACACCTTCATCTAGACCTTTTTTTTTCACTTTGGACTGACTAGATAGAACTATCCAATCTAATTTCTAAAAAGGACATCAAAAAGTGATGCCCAAGATTTCTTGTCCACATTGTACTTTTTTGTGTGAACCGAAACGTCTAAAGTGCACAATGTGCTTTAAGTATCTTCGCAAACGAGAGCGAGCTAATCAAGACCTCGCCGGCGAGCAATCTTTTGACAGCGAAAGCGAAAAGCCGCACGGCAGCTCTGTGGAGCTTGACAAAATTCAATCTCCCGTGGCCTCTCCTTCGACTTTAATGTTTTCGCTCTTCTCAACAGCAAGCGGGAAGTCAATTCAAATCAACGAAGCGGCCCTCCAAAAGGCAAGAATACGGTACAATCTTGGCGAAGAAGAAAATATTATTAGCAATAATGATATTAATAATAGCGATGAAAAAGATCAGAAAGCGTGTGAAAGTAGAAGTGATAACGCGATAGCAGAGCGAAACGTGCCTGCTGGAGAAGAAACCGCGCTATCATCCAATATAGACGTTTCCGCCGGGGAGGGCAGCCCCCGGAGCTCCCTTCCCGAGGCTTCGGTTTCGAATAATCTGAGCATCTCGGACAAATACCCATCACCAGAAAGCGAAAAACCACCTCACGATTCCAACAAAAGTGATAAGGCCACACCAAATGAAGATAAAGAGACAATACACCGAACCCCCGCGAATACAGCTGTAAGACGACCCACACGCAAGGGCTTTGTTCCCCCTCGAATTCTCTCCAATCCCCCGCCTTCTGTATTGCGTTCAAACCCTTTAGAAGAGAAGGCGGAACCCAACACCAAAGAAACCACCGCTGACCCAGCAAAGAAAGAAAAGGCTAAAACGTCAGGGTTTCTTTCCTTTCCGTATCGGGCGCTGACCTCCACCGCGCCCTTAGACCTGCCCACGGTGGAGGACATCGCGGAGGGGCGGTTTCACTTCACGCGGGCGGAATGTGGGGAGGCGCTGCGCGATGTCTTCGGCTTTCCCGACCCCGGCGCGCGCGATGAACGAAATCCAAAGGCCGCGAATCCCGAAAATCCAAAATCGACCGAATCCGCCGTCCATCCCGCGCGTTGGCGGCGGCTGTTGGTGAGCCTGGGGGCCCACGCCCCGTCCTGCACCGAGGTGGTGTGCGGTGAAATGGTGAGGGCCGCCATGCTGCAGGTGCGGGATATTTTTTGCAAAAGTAGCGGCCGTTGGCCGACCCCGCCCTCCTCCCCCGCGGCGGCTCCGCTTTTTACGCCAACATCGACGGCGATGTGCGTTTGTCTTCGCTATAATCGCGAGTTCGTCGAAGGCGATCGCCCGCTCTTCCGGAAGATCACCGAAGGCGACGTCTCCGCCGCGGTGTTGGGGGTGGTGACCGTCGTCGCCATTTCCCACGAGCGCGATACCCCCCACACCCGCCTGATTCGCGTCTCGGACGGCTTTTATCACCTTCAGGCCGCGTTGGATGTCCCGCTGAATCGCCTGGTCCGCGAAGGGGGGCTTTCGGTGGGGCGGAAAATCGCGGTTTGCGGGGCGCGCTGTCTTTTACGCGCCCCATGCCCCCCAACGGATTGTCTGGGGGAGGTCGTCTTGCGCTATAACTACAACTGCGTTCGCCCGGTGAGCGCGGAAAGTAAGGTGGGATTTTGCCTTTTTGAGCCCCTGGCGCTGGGGATCGGGGAGGTCCATCCGCACGGGGGGTTGGTTCCCGCGCTGGAAGGGGTTGTGGTTCGGGTGCTGCCGCCTTTTTTTGTCAACCAATCCCACCTCTCAACGGGGGGGGGAAATGCCAGGGAAAGGCACGCGCGATTCGCTAATCCCACCCCGCCCTCCGCGCATTCGATCAAGACGATACGAAATTTCACCTCCCAGTTGCGTTATGAGCATAGCCTTTCCACCCAACACGAGGATGGAGGGGGGGAAGGCGCCGCCCGGATAAAAGTCTCGTGTGTGGCCTCCATCCTACTCCGCTGTGAAGGCGGGGATGCGTTGATTCAGCACTGGAAGGAAATCCCAGAGCCCGAACGCGGCTCCTCCCACACGACCGAGGGGGATGAGGAGGCCTATTACTCGCAGCTCCCAGTAGAGGGCTCGGCGGTGGTGGTATATGGGGTGAACCCGAGCCGATCACAAACCGCCGGCCCGCCTTTTCCCCACGCCAAGCTTTTCTACGCCTCGCGGGCGCTTCATTACCAACCCCGCCCAAGCCCCAATCTCCCCCCCTCTGATGGCCGTCCGACTTACGCCTCGCTGAACCCGGGAGAAGAACCCTTCAAGATGGGAGGGGTGGTGGATCTTGCCGGGGTCTTTGTCGGTGCCCAGAAGACAATGCAGGGAACGTTTTATCTTTTTCTGCTTTCGGATGGGAAGTATGCGATTCTGCAGGTGCCCCTCCCCTCCCCCACGCGCGCCATCGCCCTTGAGGTCCCTGCCAAGGCGGAAGGGGGGGGGTTCATCGTAATGAATTCAACTTTTATCTGTTATGAGGATCCGAAGTGCGGATCGGACTGCGCGCGGCTTTTTGCGAATGAATATACCCTATGCACACAGCGGGCGAGCTCGCCGGCGGCGAAGGCCGCGATGGCGGCGTTGAGCGCGCAGGCCAAGGCTTTTGAGAGAGGCGACGTCAAGTACGCCGCGCGGCGGGCGGAGATTTTCCGCAGCGCGTCCGAGGCCCCGAGTGCGGGCCATGCGGATCACCCTTATCCCGCCCCTGCACCGCATCCCAACGACAAGGATCGCCCTCTTATCAATCATTCTCATCCCAACGAGGAGGAAACTATGGCGCTCGCGCAGAATCTCATGTCATTTCATCCCGTGGAGCCGCTGCATTCTCTCACAGCGGTGGCCGCGAATGGGAAACGCGTTCCTTATTATCTTCGTGAGAATCATCCTGCCAAGGCGGGTTTAAACGGCGGGGTGGTCTTTCCAAAACCCACGATCGAAGCCGCGAAATCGACCCCGGCAAGTTTATCCACCTCCTCCACCTCCCAAGAGAATAAAAACCCGAAAAACTATTATCATTGGTATGGGAATCTCATCGAAATGGCCTTCGTCCGCACCGCCATCCCAATGCCATCGTCGCTATCGAGCGCGCATCGCGTTGAGGACGGGGAAGCGGTGATTATCTTCAGCGAAACCCAACGCGATCTTTCCCCCAGTGGGGCCCTTTTAAGGCCCGAGATCGCTAATCCACCGCCGTCCCGGCAAGCCTCCAGGGTTTGCAGGGTAAAATGGCGCTATGGCTCGTCGGGGGAGGTTGGAAAGGGGGAAATTCGGGACCCCGCGGTGCTGGATTCGCTTCTGGAGCCTTGCATCTCCGCTCAGACGTTGATCACGACGAGCGTGGATATCCGCCAAATCGAGTTCTCCATCCCGCGAACGGAATTACTGAACCGCTGGCGATCCTCGACGGGGTTTTGGTGGAGGCTTTTGACCCAATCCCGCGTGTTGGAGGGCCCCGATTCGGCTGAAAGACCCGCGGAGGATGAAAACGAGTGCGCGCTCTGGCTGGCGAGTGAATGGCGTATCGCGCAAAAGCTCATCAAGGATGCGCTAAACGGGGTTCTTTTCAAATTTACCGTTCGCGAAAATGTGATGGAGCGGGTTTTTTACGTGACCAATAACTGCTTTGTTTCGCAAATGTTCTGTGATTCATAGAGAATACATTCTGCTACTATTCTTTCGACTTCTTGTTCTTACTTTTATTGCTTATGGTGACAATGTTGTACATTTTTTTTTCGAAAAAAATGATGGAAACGTACTTAATGCATAAATATTTTGGCTTTTTTTTTCTTGAATCTGAACCGTCTTTCTTTAAATGCTGACGTTAATACACGTCACACATCTACCATTATTAAGAGACTTTTTGAAAAAGTCATTTATTACTCAGAGTCAGTGTTGTGTTTTCACAAGCTTAATCTATCGACATTTAGAGTAAATTCTACCAACAAAAATAATATAGTCACTAATATAAACGTTAATAACATTAACGAGATTAACTTCGCCAATATTTTTTAGAGAGGAATAATGTCAGAGCCAATAGTTCAACTTCTCGAGATTGAATTAAAGGGTAATAATCCCGACATGTACACAAACCAACTCAATTGGAAGATGCGGCTAGAGGCATCAGAGATGCTTTCAGAGCCTATTTCAATTACCTTTGTTTGGGTAGGCAGCGCCTCTTCGCCGGCTTTTGATCAAACCCTCGACAGCTTTGACGTCGGGCCGCTCGAAAGAGGTCAGACGGAAATCGATTTAGAATGCGATCCTCCCCAGCTGGAGTTAGTTCCTCCAGGGGACGCGCTGGGGGTTACCATTTTGATTATTTCTTTTCAATATCGCTCGCAGGAGTTCCTACGGGTTGGGTACTACGCGCAAGTCGCGTATTTTGATAATCATTTGAATGAAATGCCCCCAGAGATCCCGCACAAAGAACTGCTCGGGCGATTTATAGCAATGCCGCAACCTGTCGTTACGGTCACTCCGATCGAGTGGTATGCCTAAGCAAAGAATAAAGCAAAGTTAAGAAAAAAGCAACTATAGATAAAAATTGGCATAAACATATTGTGGACATTACAAATCTGCTCATTTTTTTTTTTGATTTTTCTCCCCCAGAAGGTGAGAGATTTCAAAAAAAAATGCCTAGTTGGCCTTACGTTAGCTGGAATAGCTAATTGAGCGTGATAGAAAGAATGACGCTATGAAATCTGTGTTAAATAAACACAGCATGTAGGTAGCGAATAAAAGTTGATTGGTGTTCGGTATTGGGGAGAATTGGAAAATAACCTGTCGGCTTGCGTTTGCTGGGTTATTTATGGTTATGGGAGTAGAACGCTGCGGATCTCAATTTGCATAGAATAATTTAAACACTGAATCTTAGTTGCTTAAAGCTGAATAAATAATGTTTTAGGGGCCAGAAGAAGCATAGATAATATGGCTTACCCACATTCCTATTACTCCCTAGAGTTAATATTTATCCTTTTGGTGAACAACTAGATGTTGTCCTTAAACATTTTAGATTAATTGGATTTGGTTCGCTATCATTAGTACGTGACCTTCGACTTTCCCTTTTCATATTTGTTGAGTTTATTAAGATACTTCGTATAAGTCTGTCTTTCTTTTTGAGATATTCAAAAAGAATGCAAAACCAGTACATAAACGCCTGGTACTGAAAGTACCAATGTTAGAATTTTTTCTATGTGAAAATATTTCCGTACCACCTTATCAAACTAGGGCTTTATAGTCTAACTCACACTTTTCTACCTAAACAAAGTTTCAATGTTAAGTGCATTTAGAAGGGGTTTCCAGACTAGCATGAATATTGTGTTTATCAACACTAGCTCCCTCTCCCCCTAGCCGCATACAAACATAATGGCGTACATTTAAAATGCGCTTTACTATGGTTCTTCAATACCTAGGCGAGATACCGCGTCGTTTGGATTCCTGCCTTTTTACCTTCTTTGAAATGGGTACTTTATAGTCCAATCAAAAAGCCGTCAAAACATTTTACCAGTTATTCCATTATCTGTGTGCTTTACCAAAAGGCATCAAGTTACACGATTTCTATAGATACTAATATAGCTAAGATGAAGGGAATAATTTGAGAATCTTTTGCTAATGAATACGCATCTATCAATGATTTTATTCTTTTTTTTTTTGAAATTCATTCGCTTTTTTATCTTTTTGGAAAATATTATCCCCTTCATTTGTTTATCCGTTTGATTTAGATGACAACTTATTAGAATCCTTGTGATATAGAAACTTCCTTCCCTATCACGCAATCGATGCTGAAAAATAGTGAGATTAATGAGCTTATTCGCGATCGGGAGGCGTGGAAGCGGGCGGCATCGCAAAGTTCTCCTTATTATGATAACTGCTCTTCTCCTCCTTTCTCCTGCCACGTTCCATGGTCGATGCTCCGGCGAAGCGCCGGCGATGATGCACAGACGGCAAGGTTCGCCACCTCCCTCCGATCCGCCTCGCCTCAGCACCTGAGATTGCCGTCGGATGGATTCATTAGAGATAAATGGAGTATTAGTGGGGTGATTAAACAAACCCCAATGGATCCGCTCTTCCAACTCTTCCAAAAGAATATTCAACGACGCGGCTACGGCGTTGTGAAGAAGACACTCGCCGCTAAGCAGCGCCAAACACCCCACCACAATACCGCCTCAAACGGGATAAATCATCACGATGTGATTATTTTGTACGCCTGGCGACTTATAGCGATGGAAGCCGAAGAGCGCAAAGGTATTCTACGGCGCGAGCGAGAGCAGCGGTCTGTGGTCAACACCTTCTATTGTAAAGCTTCCTTGGAGCTTCTTATGGAAGCTGAGTATGTGCAAAGAAAAGCGACCTTTCAGGCCGCCCTCAGTGGGTATAGGAAACTCCTAGAAGAGGAATCTGTGGAATTTCAGTGCGCCACCAGTCTTTCGCACAGTGCGTATAAGCGATTAGCTATTCTTTACGCTCGGGAAAAGGCGGCAAGGAATTTAATTGCGCACGAGGAGAAACAAGAGCGAGTTGTGATCGAAAAGATGCGTTGTCTCTTAAGCATACGTAGTAAAGGTCGAAATCCTGTGTCACTCACGAAGCGAGAGAACCAGTCGCTTCACTTTCTTATAAATCAGATAAAAACACTATAGACATTCCTCTTAGGTTGAGCAATACTTATTGATTTTGCAATTGAACTGGAGGAACAATAGAAAAAAAAAAGGGGTACCATCCATTGCTTTATAGAGATGCAAGAGCGCATTGGACGAATACTACCACTCTACCCCCACACCCCATGAAACGGTCTGATAGAGAAAATCGATGCCCTACCGGTAAGCCAGGAGTCCCCCCACAGGTCAACCCCATACCGAGCGCACTCGACCTTTACCAGTCCCATGGCTCCATGCGACACCCCCTGCAACACCGCGGGCTGTCC